TTGGAGTTGATTTATTCCTGTTTTCTATCTTCTGTCATGTCCCTTTTGATGTTATGAATGTTTTTCTGAAAACAGTCCATTTGTTGAGATTTTCAAATTTTCTAGCATACAATTATGCATCTTTCCTATAATTAACAGTTTTTTTCTGCTGTTGTTATCTGTCTTCCTTTCTCATGTCTGATGTTGTTTACTGGCTTGTTGGCCAGGATCCCAGCAGGGAATAGACACGTCTTCCAGGGGGGTGATAGACATGGGGTGGTAAAGCAGCCTGGGGCAGCCACCCTGGAAGTCTCTCCCACTGGGGACCTGACTGGCTGGGATGGAGCGGGCCCCCCAGGCCAAGTGAATTCCGCTGTGGCCGCTGGTGGGGGTACTCAGCGGGCTTAGCTGCAGCAGGCAGGTTGGGTCGGGGACAGAGACCCCCAGCCCCTCCTCCTCTGGCTCTTGCGCCTCCCCCCAGCCAGCCTGGGTACAGCAGCCGGGTAGGTCCGTCTCCAGCACAGGACTTGGATGCAATTGGTCGTAGGGGCGAGAGCAGAGGGCAGAGTCCAGCTCACGTTTCTTTTCTTTCCTCGATTGTACTTGTCAGAGTTGCCCATTTAATTTTCTGCTTTCAAGGCAGGTGCTCTTGGTGTATTTACCTGCTTTTACTTGCCTTTAATTTTCAGATGAAATATTTACATATTTATTTTCTATTTTAAAAATGACCAGTGCTGGCCTTCCCTGGTGGCGCAGCGGGTCAAAGCACAGCACTGAGAAGCTAATGTCGCTTCCGCATGAGTTCGATCCCCGCCGGCCCCGGAGGTGACCCACATGGCGTGGCAGACCTCTCCTGACCCGCCTGCTGCTCCCCTCAGCAGTGGACTTCGTCAGTCAGCCTGTTCTGCTCCCCACTCTGTCTCTGGTGAATCCTCTCACCACCCCTGCACCTCTGGCCTGTACCCCAGTTCTGTATGCACGCACACAAAAAATGACCAGTGCTTTCAGGGGCCCAACTGCACGTGTGCTTAAGGACAAAGAGCTGACTTTTGCATTTCTCCTCTCCCCCCTCATTTAAAAACCTCGTTTCCTTCTAACTTTCTTGAGCTTGTGCTCTTGCTCTGCCGTGTCCAGCACCCAAGCTGCTCACTGCACCATGTCTGCTAGTTCTGACCCCAGAGCTGCAGGCTTTCCCCTGTGACCAGCTTTCCTCACCTCTGCTCAGTTTCCACAACTGACTTTCCACAGCCAGAGGTGGCGGGGGTGGGGAATCTTCTTCCCAAGCTCACGCAGAACCAACCTTCCTGCACCTCAGGGGCTCTTTTTCTTGTCTCCTTTTTCAGGGGCTGCCTGTGACTGGCGGGAAACCCTTCCAGTCCTTAGGGAAATGGGGTCTCTGGTCCCGATGCTGATAGGTTTTCATAGGTCTGAATCTTTCTCTTCTGACAAAGCGGTGCTGGGGGGAAATGGCTCAGATTTTTAAGATCTGCTCAAGTCCCCTTCCCAAACATAGCAGGACTGGCAGGCATGGGATGGCCCCATGACCCAAGACCCTGCTGATGGGGGTCAGTGATGGGGGGGACGGGGGTGGGGCACCCAGAAGGGCTTGTGCCCTCCTGGGATCTCAGACCCACTGCACCCCAACCCCGGACAGGGCGCCCCGCAGCCGCCCCCCAGTGCTGTCTGGCAGCCTCTCCTCACCTACCTGTGTCTGTTCGCTCCGGGCCAGGTCTCAGAGGGCCGGGCAGTGAATGCTGAGCGTCCCGGGCTCCTGGCCCGCTTCTCTCATTCCACACCCCTGCAAATGGCTTTTGGAAATGCAGGGCTTCCGGCCCAGTTCTTCCACCTTAATCTTGTTCAGAAGCCTGGAACACTTGAGTAAGACTGCTCCGTTGCGGAGTTTTGTCTGTAGACATTTGTGTGCAAGACTTGGTGTGTGTGCGCGATGTGTCTCTGTGCACGTGTGCTCTGTGTGTGCATATAATGCTGATAGGGCCAGAGTGAAGCCAGCTGCGGGTGAGCGGAGAAGCTGAGGGCTACCGCCTCAACTCCCTGCACAGCCCCCTTCGCCCCCCTCAGTTGGGAAGACTGCTCCCGGGGGTGTGTAGCCCTAGTGGGGTTTGTTGTGCCACATTCTCCCTTGAAGATCTGCGCTCGCTTGGTGCCAGCCCCTGGTGCCCCTGTGCACGGGGATGCCAGGGATGCCCCACCGCTCTTGCTAGGGGTCAGCTTCTGCGTCTGTTGAGCCCCCCAGAGCTGTGCCTTTCTTTCTGTGTTTCCCGAACATCAGGCTGGTGGGCCACACTGGCTTCCCTGAAGTGCCTTCCTGTCCCGCCTGGTCCTGGGACTCTGTGTTCTTCCTTTCTGTGTGTCACTGGCATTTGGGGCCACTCAAGGGCCTCTACAAACGGGCTGCCCTCAGCCAAATAAGAGGTAGTTGTGGCCCTGGTGTCATTTGCATATCTCCAGAGGAAGTGGAGACGGGAGCAGGGCTAGCTCCCGGCTGTCTGGCAGACTCTGCACTGGGGGCTGAGGCGGGAGGGGCGGGGTGGGGCCGGCAGAGCGGCCAGGTGGTGGGGTGGCTCTCCGGAAGGACCCAGGTCACCTTGGGAGGCGAGAGGGCTCCGGGCCAGAGTCACCCTTGTCCTCTCTGCTGCGTCAGCTGTGCTCAGGTCGGCTCTGGAGGTAAGACCGAGCATGAACATGGGAATGGAGGGACGAGAGGAGAGGAGAAGAAGCTGTCCTGTGAGAAACGGACAGACGAGGGGAAGTGAAATCACCCTCTTCTGTCTCTCGCTGCCACTAAAGTCCACTAAAACACTCCCCAAAACTTTCTTTACATGTCCTGTTTCAAAAGTCACAAAATGTTGGCAAGTTGACCACATGCAATTATAAAATTTGCTCACAACTTAAAAAGATCAATAAACATTGCTAGAAATAAAGAACACCAAGCTATATGCTAACGTGTATCAAAGTCTGAATAGACAGGCAGATGATCCAAAAAGGGAGCAAAGATTTGAAAAGTTCACAGAAAAAGAAATGCAAATCACTCAGCACGTGAGAGCACGGTCAGCCTTCCTCACAAAGAAAGGCAAATTAAAAGCGAGCCAGGGGGTAGTTTTTTTCTTCTTCTTCTTTCACCTCTCGGATTTGCAAAGATTAAAGCCTCTGATAATAGCAGTTGGCAGGGTGTGGGGAAGTCGACGCACTCACATCCGGTTAGCAGCGGAGAAGAGCGGCAGCGGCAGCCGGCACCCGGCACTCGTTCGTCTATCAAATAGAAAATGCCGCCTCCTGGAGCCCGACTGCGCCCCTTGAAGGCATTCGCGCCCTTGTCAAAGTGTGGGCCCGCAGCCCCTCGTGTCTCAGCGTGAGCACCCCCCTCCACGGCCCCCCGCGTCTCCGCCACCATCCTGCCTTACTGATGGGGAAACCGACACTGTGGACCCAACTGAGCAGACTCACGGAGAGAGAGCGCTGTCGGCTGCCGTGTGTGTATTTCAGCCCCCCAGAAAAAGGGAGGCGCCCCTCGACTCAGTCCCGTCCAGTTGAGGACGGACATGGTAGAACTTGTGGTCACTTCACTAGGGAAAATCGTTCGTATTACTTGGGGTGGAAAAAGTAAATTTCTGTGTATATATGATAGCAGACATAGTATGATGTCGTGCGTGGTCTGAAGTTAGGTGTGTGGTGTGTGTACATATAGTATGATATTGCTTGTATTAAAATGACGTTCGTCCAGACATTTTTGTGTATGTTTAGAAGTTCTGGAGCGACTTACAAGTAGTAGTACATCTACAAAGCCGGACTCACGGGGGTCCAGAAGGAGACGTTTTATCGTTTCTGATCTCTCTGCATGGCCTCACCCTTTTTTAAATTAGTGTATCATTTAAAAAAAAATCTACTTAAGTGACAAACATACTCAAATGTGTCATGAGGTGCCGGCACTCAGGAGCAGCTAGATGAGTGACGCTTTGTAAGGAAGCACCATCTTGGTTGCAGAAAAACATGGAATTCATGTGGGGCTGGAGTTAGGCCCCTGCGCCTACCCGCCCCCCCCCCACACCACCCCCCTGTCTTGAGGGGGACCCAGCAGGGGCCGGGCAAGTTTTCAAAGTTGATGAGAATCCCCGTGAAGGAGCTGGGGGATGAGAGAAGAGAGCAACAGTTTCAACTAAAGGCCTAAAAGTCCAACTGAGTTTCCCCCAAAGGCCTCACGCCTCTGGGCACAGCCCGGAGCCAGCGGGCTCTCACGGCCTGTGAACTACGGGCATCAGGCTCTTGCTCTCGATGCCCCGGAGCTGGCCCCGCTTCGGTGCCCTCTCCTGAGGTGCTCAGGCTTGACACACCCCTTAATCTCCACTGTCTTCTGTAGCTAAAAACATCTCGCTTCCTCCTCCTCACACGGTGGACCCTGAGCCTGAGGAAGGTAGAACTTCTAGAAGGAGAGAATTCAGGACCCAGCACTTCCTCCTTTGAAACTACGTGAAGGTCATGCACGGGCAGCTGGGGAAAGCCAGGTCCTTGCAGGATGGTGTTTGGCCTTGGGGAGAGTGAGCTCACCAGGCCGAGACCTCTCCAGGAGAGGAGGCTTGGGTGGGGGGGGAGCGGTTGGAGGGGCTCCCCATAACTGGCCCCTCTCGAGCTGAGTCTGACTCCCCATCCTCAAGTCTGCACCGTGCGTGGTCCCACTGGAGACTTCTGTTGAGTTCTGGCAGCCAGCGGGATGGTTCAGAGGCTGGGGGAGCCCTTCTAGATGGCGGCCTGGCGAGGGCGCCCTAACTGTCAAGGCCAGTGTCACCCATGCCCCAGAGACCCTGACGTCCCTTTCCTGAAGCCAGTGGGGGAGGGAGGCGCTGCCACCATCCGGGACTCCCCATTTCAGGCTGATCTCCCACTCAGAAATGTGAGCCCCAAATTCCAGGCTCCACAGCCAGGTTGCCGGGGCCCTGGCAGGATTCTTGTCTTCTTTGACTCAGATTCTCCTGCGTGGGTTCTAACGAAACCTTGGTCTATTCCAGGTATCGGAATTGCGTTTACACGTACAGGATTCTGCCCAATGAAGACGATAAATTCACGGTTCAGGTAAGTCCTCTGTAAGCTGAGCATTGCACCCCGACTCGAGCCTCCACTGCCAGGCAGAGTGAAAAGTGGGAGAGGAGAAAAAGCTCATCTCTCGGTAGCCTGGACATGAAGGCCAGGCTGAGCCTAGACGCCCCTGGGGCGGGCTGGCGTGGGGGTGGAGGCTGACCGTCCACAGTGACCCAGCTCCAGGACACGGAGCAGGGGGCCCCAGGGTGAAACAAGGGCACCCAGAGACCCAGTGAAGTGAGCCCCTGAACTCTTCAGGGCGCCTGTTGGCCTGCGGGAAAACACACAGGCGTTCGCGCCCGGCTGAATTAGCCCGAGCCATTGGCCGAGGCCTGTTCTGGCAGAGGCTGGTGCTGGTGCATCTAACTTCACCGGGTCAGGTCCAGCTGCGTTAAACTTGCAGCCGAATTTTAATGAGCATCAGCAGGTCCCAGACTAGAAGCCAGTCCGTGCAGTTAGCACGACAAACACCGGGCCTTTGTGTGACCACAACGTGTGACGAGCTCTCGCCGAGCGGTGGAGTCCGGGCAGCTATTTTTATCTGGCTGCTCAGAGAGCACAGAGAGGGTGGGGGCAGAGGCGTGTCCGTGCTCCCAGCGTCCCCTGCGTGGGCGTGGGAAGGGGTCTGGCCAGGCAGGCGGTGCACCCCATTAAGCTGCCGGGTGGACGGGGGCTGGGAGCAGCGACTGGATCTGTGGTTGAAAAGAAAGTGGAAGCGGTGGAGAGGGGCACAGAGCAGTGCTCTGTGTGGGGCTAGAGACAGAGCTGGGTCCTGGGTAGCGGCGGGAGGCCCGTGGGCGCGATTCCTGGAGATGTGTTGGTACAGTGCCTGTGGGAGACTTTCTGGGGTCACAGCATCGCGTCACGGAGGAAGGGGCAGAGGGAGCCCTCAGAGACAGGGGCGCGCCTGAGCGGCTGGTCACGGCCGCCTTCTCAGGTCTGGTGTTTGGCCGCTGGGCTTCCCTGGGGGACGCAGGTGTGGGCCGAAGCGGAAGTGTCCCCCACCCACCCTGACACAGGGCCAGCTGGTCAGCGCTGCGGGCTTCTCTGTTCTTCCCATGCGTGCCTCCGCTCTGTCCACAGACTGTCTGCGTTGAGGATTTTAGCCAGTCTGAGATGCCCCCGGGTCTTGGCCCGACCCCCAACAGCGCACGTTGGCGCCTGGTCTGCGATGGTCCACGAGGTACCCAGAGACGTGTGTCACTGGAGGTGTCGTCCGTCGCGTGGGCCCCTCGGCTGCCAGGGGAAGGCTGCGTGGGCCAGGCCGTCGGCCTCTGGGGCCGCCAGTGTAGGCCAGGCTGGGACAGCGAGAGCGTCCTTGGCTGGTTTGGCTTCCTTGACAGGTGGTTTGCTGAAAGGCGTCTAAGCTCTCTTAAGTCAAAATTTGGTCAATGCTTTTGATCTTTTTTCCCCTTGTGGTTTCTTCTATTCCTTCAAAGTGAAGTAGACTTCAAGTATGACTAGGCCTTGAGCTGGGAAAGGCGTAAGTGTGCTAGCTGGTGGGTGTCTGTGCCCATAGCTCTCAGTGCCGACCCCACGCCTGCTCCCACCAGTGGCTCTGCGGCCATGGCTGTGGCCTGGCGTGTCCCTGTGAGCGGTGTGTCCCTGTGGCCTGGTGTGTCCCTGTGAGTTTTGTGTCCCCATGACCTCGCGTGTCCCTGTGAGTGGCATGTTCCAGTGGCCTGGCGCATCCCTGTGGCCTGGTGTGTCCCTGTGAGTTTTGTGTCCCCATGGCCTGGCATGTCCCTGTGATCTGGTGTGTCCCCATGGCCTGGTGTGTCCCTGTGAGCAGTGTGTCCCTGTGGCCTGGTGTGTCCCTGTGAGTTTTGTGTCCCCCATGGCCTGGCATGTCCCTGTGAGCAGCGTGTCCCTGTGGCCTGGCGCATCCCTGTGGCCTCGCATGTTCCTGTGAGTGGCATGCCTCTGTGGTCTGGTGTGTCCCCATTGTCTGGCGTGTCCTTGTGAGTTTTGTGTCCAAATGGCCTGGCATGCCCCTGTGAGTGGCATGCCCCTGTGGTCTGGTGTGTCCCCATGGCCTGGCGTGTCCCCATGGCCTGGCGTGTCCCTGTGAGTGGGATGTTCCTGCTGTGGCTCCTGCAGCAGCTTCCAAACTGGGGCCTCATCAGGTTTGGGGGTTTGCAAAGAACAGACTCACTCTGGCTCAGGGTGGGGTGGTCGACCTTTGTGGATCTGCCTAGACCCAGAAGAGACTTGGGGGCTGGGGCCCCTTCACCCCCAGCACTACTACCACAGCTCGAGTCTTCTCCATGGGTCCATTCTTCTCCCACCAGTGGGCTCACTTCTCCATTTCCAGTCCTGAGGGAGAATCTGGCTGTTCTCTGCAAAGCTGCCGAGGGCAGCCCTCTGTCCGAGCGGGCTGTTTTAGAACAGACCTGGCCCTGGGGAGAGAGGGGCAGAGTTGTGAGGACAGAACATGGCTGCAGAGGCCACGTGGGCCTGAGCAGTGGGCAGGCTCGTCTCCCTGAAGAGCTTTGGTCCTGCTGGACATGCGTGCTCTCGGCTTCCTCAGCAGCCCAACCCCGGGAGCTGTGGGGCCTCGTTGGCCTGAGGAGATTCCCACCTGGGGACACGCCTTCCTAGAAAAGCCCCTCGGTATGTCGCCCCTGACTACAGTCAGAAAGGATCTGTCTACTGAGAAGCAAAGGAATGCTCGCGCAGTTAAGACGACCGCCCAGCGCAGGAAGGCGGCTGCAGGTACAACCCTGCTTATTTTGACTCAAGTTCCTCTTTTTCTGTTGAGGCAAACCTCACAATCTTTTTTGAGATGAGCTAGTTTCTGAATAACTCATTCCTCACACCTGAGTCTGTTGAGTGCCACCAGAAAATGAGGGGCCCCGAAGCGTGGGGCTGAGACTGTCCCCCCAAACGCCAGAGACGCCTTCATGTTCTTAGTTTAATTACCCCCCACTGGGGCCTCTGGTTTTTGTCCAGAGCCAAGGGACCATGCCAACCTCACTGTTGGCAAAGTAGGCTGTGTCCTGGCCACAGCCACGGGGCTGTGGGAGAGTATGGCCAGGAAGGGGTATGATCCTGACACCCCAAGCCTTGCCTCTCACTCCACCTTTCACTGACTTAGAGCCGGGGAGTGGGGGAGTGACCCCCCGGCATGGATGCAGAGCCCTGCAGGCACTGGAGCTCATGTCTGGGCCTCTGAGCTGCCCGAGCAAATAGCTTTCTCTCCACCCCATAAAGTGTATCCAGACCTGCAGGGAGCCACAGGAAGGAGGGCGGAGGACTCTGCCCAGGGCCGGGCCGGGCAGCCCCTCCAGCGCTGGCCTCTGCTCTCCACGGTTGTGGACATTAGAGGGCAGATGGCCCGTGGAAACTCAGGAGGGACCCGAAAGCGAGGAGCCCCCCATCTCCCGCTGATTCGAGGTCCAGTTCTGATGGGCTTCATGAGGGCCAAGCTGTGTTGGACAGTGGTCACGCAGGCGTCTCTGGGGTGGTGACCGGGATGCAGTGGAGGCAAAATACGCAGCCCCGGCGGTGGTCTGCGCAGCCTCCTGAGGGGATGGACATCCAGCATCACCAAGTGTCTGCAAAGCCACCGCTGCTGCCGTGAGGGAGGGCTGCGGACGACGGGACAGGTGACAGCGTGAGGGGAGAGAGGGAAAAGCACATCAACAGGCAACTGAGGGAGGGGAAGGAGGATGAAAGGGAGGAAGTAACCGGAGGAAGGAGTGGAGACAGGTGAGCGCTCTGACAAAAGTCTGGATGGAAGCCGAGGTGCGGCAGAGAGCGGGCAAAGAGCGAGCGAGGGTGGGGGCAGGAGGCAGGCGGGGCTCTAGAAGATTCTAGGCAGTGTCTAGGGCTGATGGGGGGAGGGGAAGATCTTACAGCCCCTCCGTTCTGCTCTCTGGCTGTGGGTTTTCAGGTCTTGGTGACCTCAGCAACCATGGACCGTTCTGAGCCCCCAAGGACCTTCTGGACTGGACTTTCCAGAGTGGGCACATCTGAGCACTAAGGCCACAGGGGGCTGCTGGCTCCATCTGTGTCTGTCTGTCCACAGGTCAGGCCTCAGTCCCACCCCTGGAGAGGGGCTGCTTGTAAAATGCAAACGCCTTGACATGGACGGAAGTGACTGGGCCCTGCGGAGCCCTGGCTCCAGAGGGAGCTTCTTGGGAGTGACCCTCCTCCTGGGAAGGGTGAGGATGAGTTTGGGGCAGAACAAACAGGCCTGACAGGGCCACAGAGGAGCGGCCAAGGGGCTCCTCAGTGATCTTCAGACTCGGCATGTACTTGTGCGCCCTGAACCCCACCAATAGCTGAGAAAACAGGCCCTTCTGCTCCATTCCCATAATCCTCCAGGCCCTGCTTGTGTTCTGACAGTCTTCTTCAAGAGTGAAGCAGAAAACAAAAACTATGCCTAGTCTCTCTGCCTTTCTCACACACACACACACACACACACACACACACACACACACACACACACACACACACTGTTCGCTTTGAACTTCCGCTCTTTTTCATGGTTGAGATTTTAGCCAGGATATTGGCTGTTTAAGTCAAGACAGGGACACACACAGGTTTCAAGATATGCTGAGACATAGAGGGAGTTGGAAATGATGGGCCACATAGACACTTTCAGTATTCTTTCCTGATTTAGAAGAAAAAAGGCCAGGGACTCAAACTATCGGTGAGAGACTCATGACTCAGTTCCTGATCGCTGACGAGGCCGTCACATTGCTCGGGCCATGGAGAGAGAAAACAAAACAACTTTCTCAAAGCTGTTCCGCCACAGTGTCCAGGAGGGTGAACATTTGAGCCATTGTTATTAAGCTCAGGAAGAGGGTGGCAGCTGTTATTGTTCTGAGTGGCTACCAAGTGAAGAAAAGATTCCGTCTGAGCTGCTAGGCGAAGGATGTGGCGCTAACACACACTTCCTGACATTGCACAGTGAGAGGGAGCAGCAGAGACCTGGGCAGCAGAGGCCCCCAGACCAGGGCTCCCCAGGCACCGAAGGCTGTGGCTGG